TTTTATTTATTCATTCATCTGTTGATGGACATTTGGATTTTGGCTATTAGGAATAATACTGCTATAAAAATATTTGTGTATGTTTTTGTGTAGACATGTGTTTTCATTTCCCCTGAGTATGTAACTAGTTATGGAATTGCTGGCCATATGATAACTTTATGCTTAACAATTTGAGGAATTGCCAAACTTTTTTCAAAGTGTCTGTGCCCTTTTATATTCTCACCAACAAGTGCGAAAGTTCCAGTTTTCCACATTCTCAGCAACACTTGATATTGTTTGTCTTTCAGATGTTAGCCATCCTAGGAGACATGAAGTGGTATCTCATAGTGGTTTTTATTTGCATTTACCTGATGACTAATAATTGAGGGCATCTTTACATGTGCTTATAGCCATTTATATATCTTCTCTGGAAAAATACCTACTCAAATCCTTTGCCCATTTTGAAATTTTAAAAATTTACTAAATTGTAAGAGTTATTTATGTATTCTGGATGCAAGTCCCTTATCAGAGATACAATTTTAAAAAGATATTTCCTCATTTTCTTTGTTGTCTTCTCTTTTTTTTTGTTTAAAGTATCTGTAGTCTTTGTTATACACACACAATTCTGATGCTATAGACTCCCAAGGAATGCAGGGAAATGGGGGAGGGTCCAATTTTCAATGCCTGGGATTAAAAGAGGCCACCATTTCTCCATGTAAAGGTAAACAGGGACTGCCAAATATTTGGCCAAGACACCTGCCAATCGTTCAGTCCTTTCTTCATTATGTTTTCGTCATTCCTTCTGTTAGGGGAGCAAAGCTTTCTTTCATTTTTTAAAAATAATTTTTAGTTATTATGGGTAATAAATATTTACAAGTGTAAAATATTATGAGGTACATATGATATTGTGATACAAGCATCCAATGTTTAGTGATCAAATTAGGATAATAGGATTCCCACCACCTCAAGTATTTATTATTTCTTTGTGTTAGGGACATTCCAATTCCATTCCTTTAGTGATTTTTAAAGCATACAATAAATTATTGTTAGCTGTGGTCTCCCTACTGTGCTGCTGAACACTAGATCTTGTTCATTCTACCTAAGTTTATCTTTGTACCCATCAACCATCCCCACTTTATCTCTCCCTCTTGCCTTTCCCTTCCTTGATTTTGTTCTTTGAAGTACAAAGTTTTAAATTTTGATCAATCTCAATGTATCTTTTTTTTTCTTTTGCTGTTTGTGCTTTGGATATATCTATGAAGTTATTACCCTCATTGGTAGTTGAGAGTAGGTGTGGCGTCTGTCTCCTTTCTGGAATGTAAGTTGCACAGGGCAGGTGGTTCTCTCTGTATTCCCCAAATCCAGAAAAATCCCTAACATACAGGAGGTGCTCAATAATTATTTATTGAATGAGAAAAGAAATGAATAATGTGGATTTAATGAGTGATGAAACAGATGCGCAATTGGAAGAAACCCAAAGTAAAGGGAAAGTTCCCTTTTTATGAAGGGACAGTTGAGTGTATATATAGACAGGACAGGAGGCACCGAAGGCAGTACATGAAGAAGCAGAAGAAATCAGGGCAATACATGGAGCAGTTGGAGAGGGATGGGTGTAGGCCGCAGGTTAGACTGACTTTGCAAGGGAGACTCAGCTTTCTCACAGAGACACAGATGTGCATCTGGTGGGAACAGCAAAAGATCACACGTGGGGCCTGTGCTGAGGCGGGTCATGTGATATGCCTGACTGAGGGTGTGGAGCTTGTAGAAGAGGTTGAGTGGAATCATGACCAGGAATAACAGAGGGATTCCAGTCCTTGCGGAAGACCCAGGGGCAATGGGCAATCATCATTTTCTAGCCACAAGTTCCCATGCATGGGGGATCATATTTCCCCACAGAACTCTGCACCTGAAGAATAAAAGAAGCAAATAATCTCTACCCCATGTCTGAATGGTGCCCCTGCACCCTGCCTCTCTGCAGTGTGCCCTTGGCATTGGGGGCACACTGAGACATGGGTGTCATCAGGTGTATTTTTCTAGAGTTGAGGAGGTGCCCCTACCTCTAACCCTGTCCCAGAATCTTTCTTGTGCTTTTATTAAGAAACGTTCTTGATAGAGTGAATTTAGCCTCCCTTTTTCTTTATTGTTCAGGGCTAAAATGTTCTCATTCTTGATGGTGTGTTATAACAATAAGCATTTATTCCTAATGGATGTTCTCTATTTCATAGCAAGTACTAACACCAAAAATAAGCCATTGCTTCCACTGAAAGCAGAGCTTTTAACAACTGTATCTGAGCATGGCTGAAGAAATGAGATGAAATTTTGGAGAAACATACTGTCCTGACAAAATGTTATTGCCCAGGGTGGAGAGGAGCTAATTATAGTTTTCTGGCAGGGCTGCAGATGATGTCTTGAGGAGGGCTTCACAGATGGTGGTGGGATGTACATCCACCCTGGGTGAGGGCAAACGCGTGTCATTGCTCATCTTCGCTTGGATCCACAAGCAAAACAGAATTTTTGAAGTAAAAGTGTTCCTGTTAGAACCAGGAGCTATGGCTTTTCTGCAGTGAAAGCAAAGGTGAAGAGAATTATGCTAGAAATGTCTCAGCTTCTGTTGCTTTAACCTGTGCGGACTGATTTCAGTCTTCATGACACCAGGAGCCTGGAGGCTAATTTCCATTCCAAGCTGAAGGTGTCCCTTAACCCTAACTCTGGGTTTCCTTGATGCTGCCTAGAATTCTGACCTCTCCAGCACCCTCGACTGCCTCCTCTGGATTCAAGGTTCTCACAGTTCCAATAAAGAAAGTCCATGCTTCCTGTCACGAGGAAGGTCAGCCATATTTACACTTCTAACTGAAAAAAAAGTGGCAAAAAAAGGTATCTTAAAAAATATTTTGGTTTGAGTGAGAGTTGGATATTCCAAATATTTCTTTATTCAAACAGTTTGGAGGCAGATGCACCTGACCTTGGTTAAACTATTTGCAGTTGTAAATATTAGAGTTTGACCATATTAGTAAAATTATATTCACTAATGTAAATTGCATGCAGTGAAAACTCTGTTTTCCAATGTGTATGTAAACAGTGTTTGCCTGAATTCACAGGGCATGCAGTCATTACGAACACATTCAGATTTTGAAGCTATATGCACTCCATTCTGGAAGTCATTTAGCTGTGGTTCCTCCAAGATTCTTATTGTCAAAATGCAAAATCAAGCAAACAGCAATTTAGCACCACCCAGGTTGAGCACCTTTCAGCCTTCACAGTAGCTTCCAGTTCCAAGCTGCCAGAAGTTTCATGCTGATGTAGCTTCTGGCCAGATTTCTCTCTTCCTGAGTTTTCTGGAAATACATGGGGCTGGTGAATGCTAAAGCAGATCCAGTGGAGGCAACTGCTGCTTGGTGGAACATCATCACAATCCTGGCACGAAGCTGCTTTTATTTTATCCCTAAAGTCACTCTAATTTGCTTTTTCTACACTCATCATCACCACATATGAGGCCCTTTAACAGGAGCAAGGATTTCTTGCTTTGGGTCTTCACCTTCACCCTGAGTGATTACAGCAGACCCAGCTAGCTGTCTTTTCAAAATGCACCCCATCCTTTCCTCCTTTTCAACATAATTCCACTTTTTAAGGTATTCATTCTCTTCTGTGAAGCCCTGAGCTGTCCAGTCTCAGAGAGCTCATCTGGATTAGTATAAATCAACCCAGTGACCTTATGCTTTTTTCCAATTATACATTTAGGCATGAAAGTAGGCTGCAAATCCAGCCAGGAGACACAGAGGTAGTGTACTGTGTTGGGGGTGGTGGTACAGTGTGCTTGAGAAGGTTTTCTTTCCACCAACAAAAAGAACTGAGGAATAAACATGACTGGATGTTGAATGAAAGTTTGCAAAGGCAGGAACTGTTGCAGCCATCTTGCAATCAAGAGGAATTATCTCACAAGAAAATCCAGCAATGAAGAGTAAAAAGATAACACTAATGTGAATCTATGTGGTGGAGTGGGATAAAATAAATCTTGGTTTCTGGTGATATTTTGAGCTGTTGAGTTAACCAGTTACTAACTTCAGACTTCTTGTTAGGTGAGATAATGTTGTCTTTATAGCTAAACCAAATGAATCAGGATTTTCTATAGCTTTCAGCAGAAGAATCCAAAATAATAGTCTACGCCAAAGGTAAACTGAGTATTGTTACTTTCTGCATTTAACATTCCAATGATCCTCTAATGCCTTAGAAGAAACCTAAATTCCTGGGTATGGCCTGGGAGGCCCTCTAAGATCCAGCTCATGTCTCCATCACTGGATCCTTTTTTTTTTTTTTACCTTCACTCCTCATCACCCCTAAACCCCTACAAACAATGTCCATACAAAAGCTCTTGCAGATACCCAATTCACCATGCTCCATCCCTTTGCAATGTTTTCACATGGGTCCTGCAGTTGTCCTAGAAAATCTTGTGACTATTGATTTATCTGGATTATTCATCAATCTTGACTCAGCCCAGCTCCTGTCTCCAAGGTGTGATTCTTTGCTCTTTTCTTCTGCTTGGTTGGATGGTCCCTACTTTGTGCTTCCTCAGCTCTTTGTGCATCCTCTACCCCAGGGTCACCTTCCTATGCTCTTTACTATTAGTGACATCAGAAGCCATCCTGGAAGTCATGGCCATGAAAGCCAGAGACAGATCTGGCTTATCAACACTCCCCGGGCATTGTTGGTTCACAATGTTTAATGAGTGTGACTAATGTGCCAGCTGAGCCCAGCTTAGAGAGGTAAGGCTTTGATCACTCTGCCTTCACCTACGCATCCTCATATTATGGCACTTTTTACACTGCCATTTTTTAGAGTTTTGTATTTTTCAATTTTTATTCCAGATTCCAGGGGTACATGTGCAGGTTTGTTGCAAAGGTATATTGTGTGATGCTGGGGTTTCAGGTACCATTAAGCTCATTATCCAATAAGTGAGCACAGTACCCAACAGGTAGTTTTTCAACACTTTTCCCCTCCCTTCCCTCCCCTTGTATTCCTCTTGTCTGTTGTTCTTTGTGTCTATGTGTACTCAATGTTTAGCTCCCACTTATAAGTGAGAACATGTGGTATTTGGCTTTCTTTTCCTGCATTAGTTGGCTTAGGATAATGGCCTCTAACTATATCCATGTTGTTGCAAAGGATATGATTTTGTTCTTTGTTATGGTGCCATAATATTCCATGGTGTATATGGACCACATTTTCTTTATACAGTCCACCCTTGATGGGCACCTAGGTTGATTTCATGTTTTTGCTATTGTGAATACTGTTGTGGTGAACATATAGGTGCATGGGTCTTTTGGTAGAACAACTTATTTTCCTTTGGATACACACCTAGTAAAGGTATTGCTTGGTTGAAACTCATAGTTCTTTGAAAGCTCCAAATTGCTCTTCACAGTGGCTAAACTAATTTACATACCTATCGAGTGTATAAAAAGTGTTCAAGCTTCCCTCCTTCTCAACCTCACCAACATATATATATATATAAAACAGTGCTGACTGGTTTGAGATGGTATCTCATTGTGGTTTTGATTTGCATTTCTCTGGTGATTGGTGATATTGAGCATTTTTTCACATTTCTTGACTACTTGGATGTCTTGAGAAATGTCTGTTCATGTCCTTTTGCCAACTTGATTTTTTGCTTGTTGATTTATCTAAGTTCCTTATAGATTCTGGATACTAGGCCTTTGTTGGATGCAGAGTTTCTGAATCTTTTCTTCCATTCTGTGGGTTGTCTGTTTCTTCTGCTGATAGTTTCCTTACTGTGCAGAAGCACTTTAGTTGTCCCACTAAAGAGCTTGTCAACTTACAATGACTTTTAAACTCAGTTTCCAAGTGTTCAGTTTATCACCATAGTAATTCACACCCCACAGTAATTGTTGGGGACCATAACCAACAAAGTAGGGGAAATGACCCCGTGTTTGTCCCCAGGCTTCTCACTGGGTGGCCTGTGGTCTTTGCTGGGTTGGGGTGGGCAACACCCTGGGAAAGCTCCAGGTGGACTTTCATGTGCACTCTCACTCCTGGATCTGGGAACACTGCCCACTGCCTCACCAAAGGCCAGATCAAGAAGATCCTCACAGTACTAAAAAGGGAGGCACAGAAACCCACCTCTCTGTCCAGCTCTATTCTAATCATTCAAGGAGCTGGGCAAAGCTTGATAATGACAGGGAACTCAGTGTCTCCTCCCAATGTGTCAGAAGAGAAATAGAAGCTCAGGGAGCAATGCCAAATGTGTGCTGCAGGTTAGAGAGAGCTCTGTGTGCTAGGTCCTGGACCCTCAGGGTAGCTCACCCCAGTCCCTTCAGCCCTCAACAACATTATTGCCAAAACTCTCTTTTGGTCTTCATATATTAGACTATATGAGCCCTTGAGGAAATGGCCTATTTCATATTTTGTGTACCTTCAGAACAAAGCAATTTGAAAAATTCCATGTACCTGGCATGCTGCCTGATTTGTAGCCTGCATTAGCTATTAGCTGGAGAGCTGGTAATTTAGTGTTGAGCATTCCTCATTCTCTTGGGTTTCTCTCTCTCCGTGTTGCCAGCACTCTCATGCTATTTCCTTCCTGTTCACGCTCTTGGAGTTTTTGGGGTTTTTATCTTCTCTCCTAAAGCTTCATGGCCCCTCAGGAGTGCTGTGTGATGCAAGACAGGGACCTCCACAGGGTGGCCTGGAGCCCGCGAGTGACAGGAATCACTTATTACACGATAGACACATATGTGGTTTCCCCCTCCCCGCGATTGTGGTACCACAAGCACACGTGTCTTGTGGGAGGAATTGGAGAGTGACAGAGAGGGTGATGCATCCATTCATCCAACCAGAGAGGGGAATTCACGGGAGATTTCAAAGAAAAAGGCACATCAGAGCTGGGCTTTGAGAGAAAAGTAGGAGTCTCCAAGGCAGAAATTCAGGGAAGGGCACCAAGGGAAGGAGAAACAGAAGTGACGTGGCTGTGAAGAGTGAGGTAGATGTAGTTCTCTGTCTTGTGGCTGCAGCCTTTCTTCCCTGGATGGCCATGTTCATGCCAAACGCCACCTGTGTGCCCAGTTAAGTCCAGCTGGTATCCAGGGGAGTCAATGATCCAAGAGCACTTACACAGAGGCTCAGAAGGAATCTCTAACACATGCACAGAGGCAGAGGGAGAAACTGTCTCAGGAGTGATGGTCAGGAAGTGCTGATGGGGGTGAGCTGAGAACCTAGATGGGCTGGAAATCCTGGGAAGTGGTAACAAGGGGTAAGCTGGGAAGATGGGTTGGCAGAGAAGAGTCCACAGTGGATGTGCAGAGGAAGCAGATGGTGGACTGCAGCCTTGGGCTCTGGAGAAGAGCTGCCTGCATTTACTCTCCTTTCACACAGGAGTAAATGCTCATTGGTGTTAAGCGACTCCCCTAGAGTGGCAGGGCTTGTGAGCCTGGGAGCTGGGTTTAGAATTCAGCTCTGGCCTAACGCAAAAACCCAGACCAGCTGAAAAAAGTGAAAGACACCAAGTCTAAGCCACTCCAAAGTGTTACTTAATGTCCAAAGGAATGATCAGTGTCATATAAGGAAATAGAGGATCCCTCTAGAGTATAAAAGTGGCTTTAATATTTACGACAATAATATTGAACATTTATTGGACACTTACTATGTGCCAAGCACTGTTCTGAGTACTTTGCATGAATTATCTCATTTCAGGAGACTTTACTGCATACTCCATTCCAGCACTTATTTTTCCATAAGTTATTTCCCAGGAATTGGCGCTGACTGCTAATGTACAGTAGTCATTTTTCACAGCATCCTCTTGTTTAGGGTGGCTGTCATGTGTGCGCTTCTAGTTCTGGGATTCATACACATTTTACTTCGTTTCTTTATCCCAGCCTCAATACAAACCAATGGGAAAAAATCGGCAGAGAGGAGTTCAACCAATTGCATGACAACTGACTTAATTATTAATAAAATGATTATGACACATGATGGTTTACATGATTAAGAATGTTGGATCTTTTACAAAGTATTCTCACACTTACCATATCATTTGTGTCTCATAAAACTCCCTTTTCCCTGTGATGCTACTGCAACCCATTTGCTTGCTGTGAAGCCAGGAGAGGTCCAGAGGAGATAGCTGGTTGGGGTGCAGGTCTCCAAGTGGATGGCCACCTGAGTTCTCAGGTTGGGTTACAACTCCTGGGTCAGTTGTGGGTAATGCTATGATTGAGAGCATGGTCACTTGTAATGTACTGCTGATTTCTACCTGGTTTGGAGGAGTTGCTTGGAATGGGATCAAAATCAGATGGACTGAACCTTATTCTTTCTTTTGAAAATCTCAGGCTGGGTGCACCCTGGGGTTTCCTGGGACCTCCTGTTCTCACTGCCCTGGGACACATCAATCTGCAGACTGTAGACTTTCTCCCATGCCATGTTATTCATTCTCCTGTTTATTCAGTCATGTGTGGATGTATTCACTCAGCCGTCCATCCACCCAATTTTGACACCTGAGGTCAGGTGAGGAATCTGGGCTACCATCCTCCTTGGCCTGTTCAGCTGTCGTCTGCTTGCAGGGGCTCCGTTTGTGGCTGCTTTCCTCTTCCTGGCAACCTTCTTCATTAGCTTAGGCCTCATCTTCTCCGTAGTTGAGTTCCTCTACCTCTGGCACTCCAGTAAACTCCCCAGGGTCTTCCACAAAAGAAACGAAGGTGTTTCCAGGACCAGTGCATGCCCCACAGGAAGGCACAGGGGCTGAGTGGTGCTCATTCAGCCATCCATCCACCCATTCCTCCCTTCATCTTTCTTGTGGTGAACTACATGTAACAGGACATTTCCCATCTTAGCCATTTCCAAGTATGCAATTCAGGGCATGAAGTACATTCACAGGGTTGTGCAACCATCACCATTCTCCATCTCCAAAACTTTTTAATATTCCCAAACTTAAACTCTGAACCCACTAAATGATAGCTCCCTATCCCTCCTCCCCCCAGCCACTGGCACCCACCATTGTACATTTTGTCTCTGTGAATGTGACTCCTGGAGGTATCTCATCTAAGGATCAAACAGTATTTGTGTTTTTGTGTCTGGCTTCTTTCTCTCAGCATGATGCCTTCAAGGTTCATCCGTGCCGTGGTGTGTATCAGAATCTCCTTCCTTTTTAAGGCTGAATGATATGCTATTGCATGAATGCATGTGGGCTCCCCCAACTTTTTCCACTTCTTTCTCTGTCCTGCCTGAGAAACACTGGGGGCCTTGACCCCTCTGAAGCCTGGGCAGCTGCAGGTTTCCCTTGCAGGCTTGTACCCAGGCTGGTGCCTTGACTGTTCTCAGGCATTGATGATAAAGCTGTTGAGGCTGGTGTGCAAAAACACCTGTTTTCAGACATACCTGGTAGAACATCGTTTTTCTTACTCTCCATCCTGAGGATGTCGAAGCCCTCTGTATGCATGTCCCCCTTATAAATGCTGACACTTAGTGCTTTTTTTTCCTGTTTCCAAATTCCAACCATCCCCATCTCGGGATGGCTTGGGGTAGTCACTCATGGGAATTCCCCTGCCACCTGTTTTGTGGCAACCCCAGCAGGAGCTTCATCTGCAGGGAACCACAAGCCATACTTTGCTTGTCCATTCCTCCGTGGATGGACACTTGGGTTGCTTCCATGCCTCGGCTACTGTGAATAATGCTGCCATGAACGTGGATGTGCAAATCTCTTAGACACTTTGCTTTTAATTCTTTTGAAAATATACCAGAAGTGGGATTGCTAGATCATATGCTAGTTCTATTTTTAGCTTTTTGAGGAACTGCGTGCTGTTTTCCACAGCAGTCCATCTGTTCATTTTCAAGCACAGTGAGGCCTTCTGTGGAGGGCACTGTGGTAGCCATCCCCACAGGCTGGGCAGTCTGCATTCTCATGCATGCCTGGCAGAAATGGTGGTCAGTGAATACTGTGTTGAAGATTAACCAAGTGAATGGGATGCCTTCAAAAGTATTGGAAGACCTAGTGAAATTTCCTTTTTGTCCCAGAGCAATCTCAAAAGCACTCTCTCAACCTAAGACTCTGAGTCTCTCATTCTCCTGCTCACCCTCTCCTCATCTGCACAGGCCAAGAGAAAACTCCTGACCCTACCTAAAACACTGCTTGTATTCAGTGTATGGAGAAACATTTGTGGTTCTGCAGGGATGGGGTGGGATTTTCAAATTTGCTTCACACCCACTTCCTCTGTTTGACTGAGGCAGTGAGAGTAGCCAAGTTTCCAGAAATCCAGTGGTCTGTAATTGTCTCTGTGAACCAGTTGACACGTTTCATTCTCCAAGGCCACGGCTCAGATACTTTCCTCAGTAGAGGTTCCAGCAGCAAATGCATCATGTTGCAATTGCTCCTCTGCTGTGCAGGTGTCCCTGGGCATAGGACATTGTCATTGTGCTTTGCACATCCAGCCTGATTTGGGGGAGAGATTCACGTCTGACAGCTGATCTTTAATACCACTAAAGAAATGATGGTGCTCTCTGCATTCACCTGCTGCTGGATGACTCACAGCTGTGCAGTCTGATTCCATCACTGCTTGCAAGAAGAGTTTAAACTCTCACGGTTTGAGAAGAAACATATGCTCTTGTTGCCTAATGTTGGAACACAATGACTCCATTATAGACAGAAGCTTAATGAAAGCAATAGTTGAATTACCCCAACAATGATCGAAAAATGTCAAAACACACAAGAGCTAACTGAAAGAGCTCCAATGGACAAAGCTGGAGAAAACTGAGAAGAAAAATAAGTAAGAAAGTATTGAATTATGACTCAAAGTATAAACTAATTAACTATGTGTCCATTCTGAAATAAACAAATAATTTATAAATAAACCAATGGGAGGCAATAGACAGCTCTTCCAGGCAGAAGAATCCACCTTCGAGTAGGTGGAAGGTAACTCCCAGCCCTGTATGTGTGGGCTGTGCATTGTGGCTTCCTTCCAAAGAGTATCCTAAGGAAAAGGAGAACACAGGATACCTTTACAGTGGGGAAACTTGACAGAAGCTGCCAAATCCAGGTGATCAAGGTCAACATCAACAGTTGTGAGTAAAACTGGCAGAGTACACCCTTGACGTCACATGATGAGAATGATACTTTTCCTCTGTGGTCTTTCTCTGCAAAACCTGCAACCCGTTTGATCACGAGAAGAATGGCAGATAAATCCCAACTGAGGGATGCTCAAGAAAATACCTGATCAGTACTCCTTACAAGTCTCCAAGTCATCAAAAGCAGAGAAAGACTGCAACACTGTCACAGCCAAGACATGCCTAAGGCGACATGATGGCAAAATATAATGTGGGGTCCTGGGACAGAAAAAGGACATGCAGTGAAAACCAAGAATACATGAATACAGCATGTATTTTAGTTAATAAAACCTAACTGAATTCACTCATTAATTGTGCAAAATGTACTATACTAATATAAAATGTTAATTATAGGGAAAACTGAGTGTGAGGTATGTGGGAACTCTGTACTGTTTTCAAAGCTTTTCTGTAAATATAAAACTACTTTAAAATGAAAAGTTTATTAAAAACTAAAAAACAGAGAAGGGGCCAAGATGGCTGAATAGGAACAGCTCAGGTCTGCAGCTCCCAGCAAGACCAACACAGAAGGTGGGTGATTTCTTTGTTTCCAACTGAGCTACCCAGTTCATATCATTGAGACTGGTTAGATGGTGGGTGCAGCCCACAGAGGGCGAGAAGAAGCAGGGTAGGGCATTGCTTTACTCAGGAAGTGCAAGGAACTGGGGAACCGTCCTCCCTGCAGCCAAGGGAAGTGGTGAGGGACTGTTACCTGCTCCAGGTATTATGATTTTCCCATGAATTTTTGCAATCTGCAGATCAGGAGACTCCCTCATGACCCTACACCAGCAGGACCCTGGGTTTCAAGCACATTATTGAGCAGTTGTTTGGGCAAGCACTGAGCTACCTGCAAGATTTTATTCATACTTCATCAGTGCCTGGAACTCCAGCAAGACAGGAGAACCATCCAGTCCCCTGGAAAGGGAGCTGAAGCCAGGGAACCAAGCTGAAGCTCATTGGGTCCCACTCCCACGGAGCCCAACAAGCTAAGAACCACCGGCTTGAAATTCTCACTGCCAGCAAAGCAGTCTGTAGGCAACCTAAGACAACTGAACTTGATGGGGGAGGGGCATCTGCCATTATTGAGGCTTTAATAGGCAGTTTTCCCTTCACAGTGCTAAGGCAACTGAGAGGACTGGATTGAATGGAATTCACCACAGTGGAGCAAAGTTGCTATGGCCAGACTGCTTCTCTAGATTCCTCCTCACTGCACAGGACACCTTCACAGGAAATGCAGCAGCCCCTGTCAGGGGCTCATAAATAAAACTCTCATCTCCCTGGGACAGAGCACCTGTGGTTGGAGCTTAAGTGGACCTAATCTTTCCTATCTGCTGGCTCTAAAGACAGCAGTGGATTCTGACAAGTGGGATTCTCCCAGCACAGTGCACCAGCTCTGCTAAAGGACAGGCTGCCTCTTCAAGTGAGTCCCTGACCCTTTTGCCTCCTGACTGGGAGAGACTGTACAACAGGAATTGACAGACACCTCATACAGAAGAACTCCAGCTGGCATCAGGCGGGTGCCCCTCTGGGATAAAGCTTCCAGAGGAACAAGCAATCTTTGCTGTTCTGCAGTCTCCATGGGTGATACTCAGGTGAACAGGGTCTGGAGTGAACCTCCAGCAAACTGCAGTAGCCCTGGAGAAGGGGGACCTGAGCATTAGAAGAAAAATAAACAGATATCAATGATAATAACAACATCAACAAAAAGAATCCCCCTGCCCAACACATCTCCATCCAAAAGTCATCAGCTTCAAAGATCAAAGGCAGTGGGAGGAGAAGATGGCGCTATAGGAGCAATTCAGGATTGCAGCTCCCAGTGAAAGCCCAGAGGGTGAGTGGATGCCACGTTTCCAGACAAATCTTTATTGCCCACAGACCAGGAGATTCCCAGGGGTAGGAGCCCCATAGACTGCCAGCGCAGCTGTTTTGGCTGGCACAGCGGTTTCAGCCAGCATGGCTATTTCAGCCAGTGCTGCAGTGCAGTGGCACTCCGTACAAAATACACTGGTCTGGTTGCCCTGTTAAACCAGCAATTTGAGATTTGGAAAGGCAGATTAGCACATTCATCTGATTAAACGGGACTTAAATAGTAAGCCAGGCCAGGAAATTGATGGGCAGTGATGTTGTTTCAGCCAGTGCAGTGGGTCGCTGCATGGGAAATCACACAGATCCCGGCACCCTTTTAGCAGGCGACTGAAACACCTGGTAGAGAGTCAACCGTTCATCTTAAAAAAAAAGGGATCTGAGGCAGGGAGCCAGGTGATCAGGCTCGGCGGGTCCCACCCCCACAAAAACCAACAAAACAGCAATTGGAAACACTTGGGGTTGAGAGTTTCATGGCAAGCACAGCTGAACTCAGGATGGTGCAGCCCGGTGGGGGAGGGGCATTCACCATTACCGAGGCACTCCACCCCTACGGAGGTACTCTGCCATTGCTGAGGCAGCCTGTCATTGCTGAGGCAACCCGCCATAACAGAGAGAGTCCACCATTACAGAGGTAGGCCACCATCGCCACGGCAGTTCTAACTACACCCATATAAACAGGACTACAGGGAATTACACACGGCAGCAGGGCAGAACCCAGAGCAGCTCAGCATAGCCTCAGCAGGCAGGCAGTGACTAGACTGCCTCCTTTCTGGGCAGGAGAGTGCAATGGATACTCATAAATAAAGCCCTAACTCCCTGGGACAGAGCACCTGAGGAAAAAAAGGGGCTCTATGAGTTCTGTTGCAGCAGACATAAATGTACCTGCCTAGCAGCCCTGAATGAACAACAAAGCTCACAACTCAGCACTTGAGCTCCTATAAAGTACAGACAGTCTCCTCAAGCAGCTCCCTGACCCCCATATATCCAAAGAGTCACCTAACAAAGGACTAATCAGACTGACATTTGGTGGGCATCATTCTGGGACAAAGATAGCAGAAGAAGAAACTGGTAGCAACCCTCACTATTCCGCAGCTGCTACAGGTGTTCCCCAGGCAAGCAGGACCTGGAGTGGACCTCAGCAGTCCTACAGCAGAGGGGCTAGACTGTTAGAAGGAAAACTAAGAAACAGAAATATTTCATCAACAATCTGGACATCCACTCAGAGACCCAATTGGAAAGTCAGCAACTACTCAGATGACAGGTGGATAAGTCCACAAAAATGGGAAGAAACCAGTGCAAAAAGGAGGAAAACACCTGAAACTGGAACACCTCACGTCCTACAAGGGACCACAATCCCTCACCAGCAAGGGAACAAAGCTGGATGGAGAATGAGTGTGATGAAATGACAGAATCAGACTTCAGAAGGTGGGTAATGAGAAACTTCCGTGAGCTAAAAGAACATGTTCTAACTCAATGCTAAGAAACTAAGAACCTTGAAAAAAGATCTGAGGAAATGATAACAAGAATGGACAACTTAGAGACGAATATGAGTGAATTGATGGAGCTGAAAAACACCACACGAGAACTTTGCAAAGCATGCACAAGTCTCAACAGCCAAATTGACCAAACAGAAGAGAGGATATCAGAGGTCGAAGATCAACTCAGTGAAACAAAACGAGAAGCCAAGATTAGAGAAAAAAGCGCAAAAAGGAATGAACAAAGTCTCCAAGAAATGTGGGACTATGTGAAGAGACCTAATCTACGTTTGATAGGTGTACCTGAATGTGACGAAGAGAATGAATCCAAGCTGGAAAATACTCTTCAGGATATTATCCAGGAAAACTTCCCCCAACCTAGCAAGGCAGGTCAATATTCAAGTCCAGGAAATACAGAGAACACCACAAAGATATTCCACAAGAAGAACCACCCCAAGGCACATAATCTTCAGATTCACCAGGGTTGAAATGAAGGAGAAAATGCTAAGGGCAGCCAGAGAGAAAGGTCAGATCATCCACAAATGGAAGCCCATCAGACTCATAGCCAATCTCTTGGCAGAAACCCTACAAGCCAGAAGAGAGTGGGGGCCAATATTCAACATCCTTAAGGAAAAGAACTTTCAACCCAGAATTTCATATCCAGCCAAACAGAGCTTCATAAGTGAAGGAAAAATAAAATCCTTTGCGGACAAGCAAGTACTCAGAGATTTTGTCATTACCAGACCTGCTTTACAAGAGCTCCTGAAAGAGGCACTACACATCGAAAGGAACAACCAGTGCCAGCCATTCCAAAAACAAACCAAATGCTAAAGAGCATCAACAAAGTGAAGAATCTGCATCAACTAACGGGTAAAACAGCCAACTAGCATCAAAATGGCAGTATCAAATTGACACATAACAATATTAACCCTAAATGTAAATGGGCTAAATGCACCAATCAAAACACACAGACAGGCAAATTGGATAAAAAGCCAAAACCCATCAGTGTGCTGTATCCAGGAAACCCATCTCACATGCAAGGATACACAAAGGCTCAAAATAAAAAGATGGAGGAAAATTTACCAAGTAAATGGAGAGCAAAAAAAAAAAAAAACAAAAAACAGGAGTTGCAATTCTCGTCTCTGATAAAATAGACTTTAAATCAACAAAGATCAAAAGAGACAAAGAAGGACATTACATAAGGGTAAAAGGATCGATACAACAAGAAGAGCTAACGATCCTAAATATATATGGACCCAATACAGGAGCACTCAGATATATAAGGCAAGTTCTTAATGACTTACAAAGAGACTTAGACTCCCACACAATAATACTGGGAGACTTTAACTCTCCACTGTCAATATTAGACAGATCAACAAGACAGAAAATTAACAAAGATATCCAGGACTTGAACTCAGACCTGGAACAAGCAAACCTGATAGACATTTACAGAACTCTCCACCCCAAATCCACAGATTATACATTCTTCTCAGCACCACATCACACCTACTCTAAAATTGACCACATAATTGGAAGTAAATCACTCCTCAGCAAATGCAAATCAACTGAAATCGTAACAAACAGTCTCTCAGACCACAGTGCAATCAAGTTAGAACTCAGAATTCAGAAACTAACTCAGAAAGGCACAGCTTCATGGAAACTGAACAACTGGCTCTTGAATGTTGACTGGATAAACAATGAAATGAACCAGAAATAAAGAAGTTCTTCGAAACCAATGAGAACGAAGACACGACATACCAGAATCTCTGGGACACATTTCAAGCAGTCTTTAGAGGAAAATATATAGCTATAAGTTCCCACATGAGAAGAGTGGAGAGATCCAAAATTGACACCCTATTGTCAAAATTGAAAGAGCTAGAGGAGCAAGATTAAAAAAACTCAAAACCTCACAGAAGACAAGAAATACCTAAGATCAGAGCAGAACTGAAGAAGATAGAGACACAAAAAACCCTTCAGAAAAATCAATAAATCCAAGAGCTGGTTTTTTGAAAAGATTAACAAAATAGACCACTAGCCAGATTGATAAAAAAAGAAAAGAGATAATAATCAAATAGATGCAATAAAAAACGATAAACGAGAAATCACCACAGATTCCACAGAAATTCAAACCATCATCAGAGAATATTACAAACAACTCTATGCACATAAACCAGTAAACCTGGAAGAAATGGATAAATTCCTGGACACTCGTGTCCCCCCAAGCCTAAACCAGGAGGAAGCCAAAACTATGAATAGACCAATAAGAAAGTCTGAAGTTGAGGCAGCAATTAAGAGCCTACCACACAAACAAAGCCCAGGGCCAGATGGGTTCATAGCCAAATTCTACCAGACACACAAAGAGGAACTGTTTCCATTCCTTCTGAAGCTATTCCAAATAATTCAAAAAGAGGGAATCCTTCCCAAATCATTTTATGAGTCGAACATCATTCTGATACCAAAACCCAGCAGAAACTCAACAAGAAAAGAATACTTCAGACCAATATCCATGATGAACACAGAAGCAAAAATCTTCAATAAAATACTGGCAAGCCGATTGCAACAGCAAATCAAAAAGCTTTTCCACCATGGTCAAGTAGGATTCATCCTGGAGATGCAAGGCTGGTTCAACATACGCAAGTCTATAAACGTAATTCACCACATAAACAGAACCCAAATCAAAAACCACATGATTATCTCAATTGACGCAGAGAAGGCCTTTGACAAAATTCAACAGCCTTTATGCTAAAAACCCTCAATAAACTCGGTATTGATGGAACGTATCTCAAAATAATAAAAGGTATTTATGACAGACCAACAGCCAATATCATACCGAATGGGCAAAAACTGGAAGCATTCCCTTTGAAATCCGGCACCAGACAAGGATGCCCTCTCTCACCCCTCCTATTCAATATAGTACTGGAAGTTCTAGCCAGAGCAATCAGGCAAGAAAAAGAAATAAAGGGTATTCAAATAGAAAAGGAGGAAGTCAAATTGTCTGTATATGCAGACGACATGATAGTATACCTAGAAGACCCCATTGTCTTAGCCCAAAATCTTCTGAAACTGATAAGCAACTTCAGCAAACTCTCAGGGTACAAAATCATTGTGCAAAAATCACAAGCATTCCTATACACCAATAACAGACTTAAAAAGAGCCAAATCAAGAACAAACTGCCATTCACAATTGGTACAAAAAGAATAAGATACGTAGGAATACAACTAACAAGAAACGTAGAGGACCTCTTCAAGGAGAACTACAAACCACTGCTCAATGAAATAAGAGAGGACACAAACGGATGGAGAAACATT